AAAGATATATCCTCACCCTAAGATGAATACTCCAGGAAACTTTATAATATGAATATTATTAGGACTATATTGATATACATATATTTTAGCATATAAACAATTTTATACTGATCATACGGTATGATTTCATTATCAAAATCATGCCATTTACAAATTCATATGTTATGACTAAAATAGCAGCTGCTGGGAGGATATTCCTTGGATTTCTGAATATTTTTGACAATAGAAAATAGACCTTTAAAACATACAGTTATGCCTATTAACTTTCTCTTTTAAAAAAATTGAAAGCACACAACAAACAAATCTTGCAGCATGTAATATAAAATAAAACCTGAATATTTAGGGAGAGGAAATACATAATACCAATTATAACATTATTTAAAATATTAGCAAGATGCACAGGATATAAATTTAATAAGCAATTAAATAAACAAACAAACATTATTTAATATTTTTTCATGTTTTCTCAAAGTACAAAGGCCTTCTAGACAAGAGTTATATGTTTAATATGGTTAAGATTTGTGCAGAAATTCGTAATAGAAATCTTTGGTCCCTAAACTAGCCTATTTCAAAGTTTCACTGAACTGACAGACTTATTCTGGAATTAGCTTGTCACCTTTCTTTATTACATTTATCCTATTTTTAATCACTAAAACTTTCTCAAAGTGGGATTATTTCAACTTGAAAGTTAAACTTAACCAGTGCAGTTGCAATTGTTATTATTTTACAAAACTAGCAGTGATTAGTCAGAAAACAGTAACCATCTGGGACAAAAGAACAAAAAGTGGGATTTTAGGAAGTTGAGTTTAGTGATCAGGAAGCAGTAACATCCATAGACCCTAAAACCTCTATGCCAGAGTATGCCAAAGAACCTGCATTCTTGTTGCTGAAGGCCTTCTTTGCACTACCATTACGGTGTACATTAGGCATGAAGCAATGGAGAAAGACAGCCAGGCTTGCATAAGTGCACAATCATACCTACTGTCCCTATCCTATTGTCCCCTATTTATTCGTACCTATTTACCTTACTCATGTTTATACATGTACCTATTATCTTATAAGCAATTAACAAATAAAATAAATAAATAAATCCAATAGGACCAGTCAAACTGAGGAATTGAGTCAGCAATTGTCTAAATGGCATTTTTCCTGGGACCTGTCCAAGGTCCTGAAGAATCCATTTTTGATATCTCCTTTCTGATCTGTGCTTTTTTCCTCATTTGGCACTACACTCTGATGAGCCATCTATTCTTCTTCTTTCAGCACCCACCTTGAACTCACCTATATCCAAACTCTGCAATGAATGAATATGAATATCTATAAATCTATACCAATCTACATATACATATACGTGTGTGTGTGTGTTGCACAAAACCTATGTTTTCATTGTTCCACAACAGACAATATTGGGGCAGCTGCCTATTTACACAAGTGTTGAGCACCTCTGCATAGAACAAAGTACAGTAGTTAATCAATTTTATAAAAGCATGGACAAGTGTTTCTGTCTCTTTACTTTAGAAAATGATATAACAGCTGTTTTTTCCAATGAATATAGTAGTTGACTGCAGTAATTAAGAATACATCCCAATACTCTAAGCTCTTTCAAGACTCAAAAGACTCTCTCAGATGCAGTTCTAATAGCTTACCAGTGGGCATTCTTCTAACAATCCCAACAGTCGTAACTTAAAACTTGCACACCTTATGAAGCCTATTATACCCGACAGATTCATCTTTATGAGAGAACATCTGGTATTGGATTGAGATTGGAACAGAGAGCTCAGACAGACAGAACTGTATTTTGCTCACTGACCAATAAAAATGCAATCAATAAAACGAATAACTTAAAACCATTCCCTAACAACAAGAACTATTAGCAATCATTTGTGGGCAAAGCTTCACATAATGTAGAAAAAAGAGCTACTTTTAGAGAAATAAATTTATCTTAATTATTTAACAGATAATGCAGATAAAAGCTATCACGGTGCCCTGGAAATTTAAATAAAAGATGAATAATCAACTGGAGGTGAGTGTCCCTGCAGATTTGGCAATACAGAAGAACATGGATTGGGGTTTCTGTGGCATAGAAATCAGTATCTACATGATATTAATAATAGCAAAGGTTTTAGATAACTTCAACCAATGTAGGTATTATACTTCAAACTTCTTGCAATCAAGAAGTCATCTTCCAAAGATTTGAATATTTCAAATACACTGCTCAAAAAAATAAAGGGAACACAAAAATAAGACATCCTAGATCTGAATGAATGAAATATTCTCATTAAATACTTCGTTCATTACATAGTTGAATGTGCTGACAACAAAATCACACAAAAATTATCAATGGAAATCAAATTGAGCAACCCATGGAGGTCTGGATTTGGAGTTACACTCAAAATTAAAGTGGAAAAAAACACTACAGGCTGATCCAACTTTGATGTAATGTCCTTAAAACAAGTCAAAATGAGGCTCAGTAGTGTGTGTGGTCTCCACGTGCCTGTATGACCTCCCTACAATGCCTGGGCATGCTCCTGATGAGGTGGTGGATGGTCTCCTGAGGGATCTCCTCCCACACCTGGACTAAAGCATCCCCCAACTCCTGGACAGTCTGTGGTGCAATGTGGTGTTGGTGGATGGAGCGAGACATGTTGTCCCAGATGTGCTCAATTGGATTCAGGTCTGGGGAACGGGCGGGCCAGTCCATAGCATCAATGCCTTCATCTTGCAGGAACTGCTGACACACTCCAGCCACGTGAGGTCTAGCATTGTCTTGCATTAGGAGGAATCCAGGGACAACCGCACCAGCATATGGTCTCACAAGGGGTCTGAGGATCTCATCTCGGTACCTAATGGCAGTCAGGCTACCTCTGGCGAGCACATGGAGGGCTGTGCAGCCTCCTAAAGAAATGCCACCCCACACCATTACTGACCCACTGCCAAACCGGTCATGCTGGAGGATGTTGCAGGCAGAACATTCTCCACGGCGTCTCCAGACCCTGTCACGTCTGTCACATGTGCTCAGTGTGAACCTGCTTTCATCTGTGTAGAGCACAGGGCGCCAGTGGCGAATTACCAATCTTGGTGTTCTCTGGCAGATGCCAAACGTCCTGCACGGTGTTGGGCTATAAGCACAACCCCCACCTGTGGATGTCGGGCCCTCATACCACCCTCATGGAGTCTGTTTCTGACCGTTTGAGCAGCCACATGCACATTTGTGGCCCGCTGGAGGTCATTTTGCAGGGCTCTGGCAGTGCTCCTCCTGTCCCTCCTTGCACAAAGGTGGAGGTAGCGGTCCTGATGCTGGGTTGTTGCCCTCCTACGGCCTCCTCCACATCTCCTGATGTACTGGCCTGTCTCCTGGTAGCGCCTCCATGCTCTGGACACTATGCTGACAGACACAGCAAACCTTCTTGCCACAGCTCGCATTGATGTGCCATCCTGGATGAGCTGCACTACCTGAGCCACTTGTGTGGGTTGTAGACTCCGTCTCATGCTACCACTAGAGTGAAAGCACCGCCAGCATTCAAAAGTGACCAATCCATCGGCCAGAAAGCATAGGAACTGAGAAGTGGTCTGTCGTCACCACCTGCAGAACCACTCCTTTATTGGGGATGTCTTGCTAATTGCCTATGTTTTCCACCTGTTGTCTATTCCATTTGCGCAACAGCATGTAAAATTGATTGTCAGTCAGTGTTGCTACCTAAGTGGACAGTTTGATTTCACAGAAGTGTGATTGACTTGGAGTTACACTGTGTTGTTTTAAGTGTTCCCTTTATTTTTTTTGAGCAGTACATTTAAATTGAACAAAACCCTCAGCATGAATATTTCTTTGTTTGGCAGAATAAGACACTGCATAAGTAGATGGGAAATTATGGGATGAAAAATAGGCAGACTGGGGAATTCTCTCCTGAGCCAACAGGTGACGAAATGAAAATAAAAACATGAAAAACAATTCCTGATATTGAGTACCATCTGTAATGCAGAAACATACAGCCACCAAGTTGGATTTGGGCATCTTTCTTAGCCAAACCTCAGAACTGGAAAAATGCATTCAGAATATATATGCTGGAGTAGACACACAAACACATACACATACACACACAACACAATGCAATATCAGCACTCTATGATAAGAGAGAAATGTTTCTGTGAAATTTTTGGAAATATGAAGAAAAAATGTTTTTAAGCATACTATTATATTTAAAATACCAAGTATCTAATTCACAAATTTGTGCTTAACTAACTTGAATTCACAATGCATTTTAAAAATTCAATTACTTCAGTTTGGGTACTAAAACAGGCAAAAGTTCTATGTTGATTTCCAATTAATATAATACAAAGATACTAAGAGCTCATTTTCTGTAGATTAATTCAACATATGCTGCATCCAAAGAGGAAAATAGCTCATGAAATCACCGAGCTGTAAAAACGTTTCCCTGAATTATCAAATATCACTTCCTTGAATTAATGATGCAAACTTCAGTCACCATTACATGTAACATTTCCCCCTCCCTTCCTCCCTCCCTCTGCCTCTCTTCTAAATGGCTTTATATTATAGTAGCCTTTTGCAAAGTTCTTATTTGAGCCTAGTTTGAGTTTAAGCTGAAATATCTCCTTCAGTCTGAATATTTTGTTAACCACCAGAAAGTTTAGCTGGCCATAACTGTACTGATAATATTCTCAAAATGGTGCATGCCCACTGAAAGAGAACAAGATTTCTCCCATCAGCTCCATGGCTGGAAACACGTGTACAAAAGTATGGCACACACGAGGAATCAGCCTGGCAAAAAGGAATTGTGAGGAGAAGATGAGCAGAAAATCAGCTCAAGGAGAGTCAACTGTTATGGCCTAGGCGAGGTTTCACAGGGTTAATCCCAACTATCAACTTAAGCCTTTCTCTCGCCTGTCAGGAGACAGCCCACTGAAAGTTGGAGAGAGGAGGGAGAGAGAGAGAGAGAGAGAGGGAGGGGGTGGATGCTGCTGTGAAAGAGAAAGACACTTACTTTTATAGCTGGTAGCCCAAGGCTGATAGCCGTAATAGCCTGTAATCCGCAGGATCCTTTCCTCGATGGACGTGAGTCCTATGGAAGCGCTGGTAAGGTCTTCCACTGACCTCCATTTCAAGTCCTCTTTGATCGCCTCATCCACCACCAGATATTTGAGCTGCCGGAGTTGGGGGCTGATGTCTGACAGCCTCCTGGGACTGACATCAGGAGACCTCCTCATGCCACTAGAAAGGAAAGAGCAGCTGCAGCAGCGGGTTGAAGAAAGGAAAGGGAAAAGGAAAGGGAACAGCCAAAGCAGACCGGGGAGGCAAAATCAATAATGCAAGCTTTCTCGGGAATATTCATATCAGGAGAAAAACAAACAAACAAACAAATACACAAATAAATAAATAAAAGGTTCCCCCCAAAGATAGGCAGCAGGACTGGGGGAAACTGAGGAAGGCACTTGACACCCCAAAGCGATGCCCTCCTTAGCACAGCTTCTCCCATCAGGTGCTCTGCAGGCATGCTGGACAACAACACCATCATCCCCAGAAGCTGTAATCCGACCCTCCTGTCTCAGCGGATGGTTGAAGAGACCCGGTTGACACACACACACTCTCTCTCTCTCCCTCTCTCACACACACACTCTCTCTCACTCTCTCTCTCTCACACACACACACGTCCTTCAGGGGCGAGCCCTCCAAAAGAGCCCCGGGGATACCTCAGCGCATCCCGAGTCGCGGCGCAGGAGAGGAAAGCTTCGCCCAGAGCTTTCCCGGTTGGCGCTCCACCTCCCCTCCGCCGCGCTAACCGGGAAAGCTCCGGAGGGCGAACTTGCAAGCCCTCCCGGCACACCATTCCCTCCTCCCCCCCACCACCTTCCCGCCGCCTTTTTTGGCGCCAAAAAAGCGAGGACCGGGAGAAGAAGAGCAACTTTGCTCCCACCGGCCCGCCTCGCGCCCGCCGTGGCTCCCAGGCTGAGGCAGCGGAGAAGGGAGGCGAGCGCCCGAATCGGAGCTGGGAGAGGGGGGTAGATTTTTCTTTCCGGCTCCTTCTTGCCGTCACCCTCGCCCTCCGCCCGCCGTCGCCGGCACTCACATCGCCATGCTCTTGCCCCTCGCCGTGCCGCTGGGAAACTCGCGGATCCCCATGGGGAAGAGCAGCTGGGGAGTGGCAGCTCCCAGACTTCTCGGAAGGGGCAGCCGACTCGGGCTGGGCGACTCGACACGGATTGAGAAAGAAAAACTGCGAGAGAGGCGCGGCGTGAAGTGACCGGGAAGACCGACGTCGCTTGTGTTGGCCACGGCGGCGGCAAGGAGTTGCAAAGCGCCCGGCCGGCAAAAAGAGGGGGGGAAAAAAGCAAAAGAAAGAAAGAAAGGACACAGCTGCCTCCACACGCCCGGCTCCCCCGGTGCGCCACGCGGCTGAGGCGAGGCGTTGGTGCCTGGCTGCAACCTGGCTTGTTGCTGCTGCTGCTGCTGCTGCGCGTAGAGGAAACGAAGCGAAGGTGGAGGAAAACGCCCGCCGACCTCCTCGCAGGCAACTCCGCTCGCTCGCTCTTGCTTTGCGCTCCGTCGTTTTTCTCTCTCGCCACAGGGGGAGCCCACTTTTCTCCTCCTCCGCCTCCTTCTTCCTCGTGAAATGAGCGCGGCGGCCGATAGGGGGAGCCCGGGCACGTTTGTGCAGAAAGGCAAGGGAGAAGACGGCGAAAGAGCCCTTCTTGGGCAGGGAACCGTTCAGGAGTTTTGGAGGGTTGGATCGCGTGTCTTCTCCATACCCCGCCTTCGTAAAGTAGAAAATGATTTATTCGTGACAGATTGCTTAGAAGTCTTTCTTGACTGCGTTGACCCGAGGCAGCAAACACTTGTCCCACTGGCCGGGCTGGATAAAGTCAAGATGTGAAGAAGTACTGCATCGCTGGATACGGTGCCCCTCGATACTGTAGATCGGTCATCCTCGGGCGCGAAAAGGACTGCAAGCTTTGGCGCAGGGGTGGGCAGCGTGGAGCACAGGGGCCATCTTGCAGCCTCTAACCCCTTTCTTGCATCGCCCGGAGCGCCGTCTTGATTGTAGCGCTGTTTTGCAACGCTCGCCCGATTTAGGTGGAAGGTGGGAGACACGCGCCGCGTTGTTTTGGAAAGAGTAAAGAAGGAGGGGGGAAACAAAACGGAGTGAAAGCAACCACAACCGGGGGAAAAAAAGGATATCCTGGCTCTGCCCATATAGGTATGACAGGGCTCATCACTTCTTTCCATCCAATGCAGTCCAGTCCTCTCCAGAGCTGTTCGTTGAAGATGCTATGCAGGCCCAAAGCCTTTGCCAGATATAGAAAGCCCAAAGTTGTGGTCTTTGCTATGAAGCACAAAGGCAATGGAGCAGCCCAGAACTGCTTCCTCTTCCTGCCTGCTTTATGAACATCCGAATGGAAGGGGTGGGTGGGGGAAAGCTCCTTTTTTTCTGACCTTGGGATCTTTCTGTTTTTGATTCTCCTACCTGACACGCAAAGAAGGCAAAGCCAGGGGCAGCTGAGGCAGCCCAAAGGCAAGGTGGCAGTTGTAGATATGCCGTAAGGGCAGCAGTTTGTCATATAGGACATAACCTTGCTAGATCTTATGCCACGCAAGCTGGCAAGATGAACTGAGTAGGGCAGTTATTTATTTTAGGTCTTAGTCATTGCGATGGGACATCCCAAGAGAATCTATTCACTATTGAATGATTGTGATGATGATGATGATCATCATCATCATGCATTTTGAATTTAGCACTCAAATCTAATCAAATGTGCATCATAGTGGTTTATTTATGCATGCTCAAATTAAAAACCAAGCAAAACCAACATGCCTGCTTTGAACCTTTGGGAAACCCTGTCCATATATCTTATCTGCAGAGGAACATTTTTCATCTAAAGGAAAGCCCATTTGCTGCTCAGTAGGGAGGATCCCTGACTAGACTATGCCTAACATGGCAGACAATTGCTGCACTCCTTTTTCTAACCATTTTAAGGTCTGGCTTGAGAATAATACAAATAAAGCAGCTGCTCTGCAAAGGAGGAGCCAAGGTAATCCAACCACCATCATTTAAACATGGCTAGTCTCATATGCATTCTGCTTGCATATAAACATGGAGCCTTTGAAGCTCACGTAATGATTTACATCCCTTGCTGCTTGGGGATCGGTAAAAGCAGAAAGATGCAACTCTGGTTTATTGCCTTTATTGCCTCAATAAAGTTCACATAACAACATATTGAGATGCTATTCATGGAAGGACTTCTTAAAAGTGAGAATGATCCTAGAGTGTCATTGTGCTCTGTCTTTCTCTCTAATAACCAGCTATGCATTAAGTACAGCATCTTCTGCAGTTCTTTTTCAACAGAGGCTTCTGAATGGACGTGGTCCTGAGCTTAAGAGAGGTTTGTGCCCTCCTCCTGATTCTTGGGATGTCGGAGTAAATGACAGCATTGTGATGAGGACAAAAGCAGCATGAAATGAGGACTTAAAGATTATTGAAGGCCCAGTAAATGCAGCTGCCTTTTTAATGTCCTCTCTCGTATCCTGTTGATAAAAACAAGAACATGTACGCTCCGTTAATTTGAGATTTTATTAAGTTGCATTTATTTGCATTCAGATGTCGTATTAATAAAACTTTATTTTATTAAGGGTCAGAATCCATCCAGCCCTAACCTGGATGCTGGAGTATCAGAACAAGCAAGACAGACAAGATTCATAAACGTATCATATCTCGGGCCCAAACTGCCTTGTGTGTGAAATTAAAGTTAGCATAATGGAGCCTGAATGAATACATTATCTCTCTTCAAATCTCACAGGACATACTTAAGACATACCATTCCTATGTTGTCCCATAGTCCAAAATCAGTTTATTGTTTTATAGTGAGGGCAAGCTAAAGGGATTGAATATAACACAACAGAAGTACAAATGAACAAGCAGACTAAAAGGGTTGCAACTCTCAGCTGCTCTAACAGCCCTGATACATGATTCCAGTTAGGGGTAGGGAATTTCTAAAGTATACTTCCAGACCAGTCTGATTCATCTGGTTTACATGGCTTCAGAAAGAACCTGACTCTTAGAAGCAAAAATCTTACATTCTGTGAGAAAGGCACATCATCCCCTCTGTTTAGCTTCTAACCCCTCTTCTCAAATTTAAGGCTTTCTGGGCAAACAACTTATTTTCAAAATGTAAATTACATATCCACAGTGCTAATTTCCCCATTATTTTAATCCAACTGTATTCAGAATGAAGTATTAGCTGAATTACTAATTTCATGGACAGTGGTTTTAAAGCAATAAATGTAATGAATTACCAATATATTTTGCTGGCAACAATACTTTTGTGTCATCTAACTTAAAATATCTGAGAATACGAGGCTAATGGAATATGCTAGTGATTTATAATTTAACTGCCCATGGATATTGTTTAAAGTGCTGGTTTTCAAACAAGAAAGGAAGAAAACAAGAAGCCACAATACATATAGCATCTCAATAATTTATTAGAAGAAACTCCGCTTATCTTTGCTTAGCAAAGGCTTATCACAGCCTTCCCTAGCCTGTGCCCTCCAGGTTTGTTAGACACCAACTCCCATCAACTCCAGCCATCATGATGAAAGAAATCCGAGGGAGGATTAGAATGAGGAAGTTTATGCTAGCACCTAGGCAATATTGATTTATTCCTTTGTACTTTTCTCTGGCCTTATTCAATAGGGCTCCTCTTTAGGGTCCCCATTTTCATCTGTAGAGCACACATTTTCAGCTGATTGGAGTAAGATGGAGATAAATTCTCTAAGATCTCAAAGGTAGAACTAGGAGGCTGCTTGAGCCTGGCGGTTTGTTGGCAAAGCTGGAAGCGCGCAACGCAGGAGCTCGTGGGGACCCCGGGCGCCCGTTAATGGGGAAGGAGAGCCCGCTTGGGGTCGCCTGTGTGGCCCTCAGCGGGTAGACAGCCGCGGCGGCGATGCTGCCCTGGAGGCGCGATCGGTTGCAGCCACGCCAGCGCAGGCCAGGCATGGTGCCGTAGCGGCTGTTGGAGGAACTGCGCCGAGGCGGAGGAGGAAGGAAGGCGGGCGCGGACGGGCAAAGCAAGCAGGGACCCCCTTCTCCAGCCCCGCTTGGGGTGAAGATTAATCGCACGGGCAGCAGGATTGTTTTAACATATGTTACAAATATGGCTGTCTCTCTCATTATAAAATGGGGTGGGCAAGAATTTTTAATAACCACCTTGTCAGAAGAGGACACAGTGTTGGATCTCAAGCAATCACTCAAAGGACTTACAGGAGTGCTACCAGAACGCCAAAAAATATCTGTGAACCTTTAAAATAGTCCTCTTTAGCCTGGAGCCTTACAACTTGATTACTCTTGGAAGCTGCAGTTTCATAAATCAAGAAGCTTCCAAGTCAGAGAAATTTGTTTCCGATTCCTAATTCCAGAAATTTGTTTATTTCTAAGCAGATAGACCCCTGAAAAAGTTACTTTGCTACTTGTCTACTGTTTTCTCCATTATTTCTTTCATAAGTTATTGGGAGCGAATGAACTCTACAGTAGTAAAATAAATGTTATCTTTTGGTCATGTTTTTATGTCTGATGAGGACCCCAGAGATTTTTATATTCTATAATCATGTGGGATTATGGGAAATCTGCCACTTCCACCATTTCTGGAGGCAAGTAGTTCCACTGATTAATTGTTCTCACTGTCAGGAAATTTCTCCTGAGTTCTAGGTTGCTTCTCTCCTTTGTTAGTTTCCATCCATTGCTTCTGGTCTTGCCTTCAGGTGCTTTGGAGAATAGCTTGACTCGCTGTTCTTAGATATAGGAATATTGCTATCATGTCACCCCTATTCATATAGTCTAGAACGGTATGATTGGCAATGGCTCTCTTAAATTGAAAGCAGAGGTTTCTGGAGCCCTGTGAAACTTCAATCTACATCTCATTGCCTGTTGTTACTCTCACTCATAAAAGTCATTATTATTAAAATTTCACCAGTTGTAAGAGCTTTGCGTTGGTTGGAAAACCTTCTCTTCTTGAGCAGTCTGTTTACTACCAAGTGTGATATAGAGTTCGGCTTGCTGTATTATTCCCCCTGCTGTTAAGATATATTTTTTCATGGGTAATATTTGATTTGAAAAGTGGATTGAAATATTC